TCCACTTCTTTTCCGTCGGTCGTCGTTGTCGCTCTCGCGTCGAAGCACCTCGCCGCCTTGAGTTTCATTTCGGAATCCTTGAGGCTCTTCCCGAACTCCGCGAGCGTCAGCAACGCCGCGGCTGATTCCTGTGGATTGGCGCCCTGGGCCACCGCGGCCTTGACCTCTTCGAGCCTGTCCTCCGCCGCCTCGCTCAATCTGAACAGCAGCATGCGGAGGTACGCATCGAGCTTCATGCCGAGAAAGTGGCCGCGATAGTCGGCGGCCGCGACCGTGTCCCTGGCCTCTTTCCCGACCTTCTGGTAGTGTGCCGTGCTCGACTCCAGCGCCACCTGCATCTGTGATCCGACTCGAAGCCGAACCACCACGTTCTGGTCTCTCGCCGAGCCCCGAAAGTTGTCCTCGTGCTCGAGCAGAAGCTTGGTCATCAAGCGGTCCTTCTTCGAGATGCCAGCAACTTCGGTGTCGGCGTTCGGTTTGGTGCTCTCGGCTCCTGGCTCGCCCGCGTCTCGTTTCTTGACCAGCTCGGCCGCGGGGATGAACATCGCCCCCCGAGATGCTGGGCTCTGCTGCGGTCGTTGAAGGTCGATCTGAAATAGAAAGCGATGGCGGCGTCTGAGCCCGAACAATTTGCGGATCCGAGAGATGTGGGCAACGTTTGAATTAAATATGCCTGATCAAGGTGTCCTTGCGAGTAAATGCTTGGAAGCAATATGGACACCTGCGGAAACTGAGGTCAAACAAAAGGGTATCCACACGGTTGGCAATAATCGAGTGGACCGCAAACCTGTGGTTCTCCAACCCCTGCCGGCCGTTGCATCCTTTTCCACACTCAGGGCACGCAAGAAGTCGAGGGGCATCGATCTCCCCTGCCTCCTGCGTCAAGTCGCTCTCAGCTTCGTGTGAGAGGACAACTCTGAGCTCGGCAACAGAGAGCATGTTTAGCCACTCCAGCCATGTCACGAGAAACACATGGCGAATCGGACGGTGCGCGCTCCTTGTCTGCTGCTGGGGTGCGAGTCCAAAGCGCCCGAAGATCCGAGAGGAGTTGTCCAATTGGGCAGGAGTGGTTGCAGCACCTGGAGTCCTCAAAAGAAAGCTTCCCGAATACAATTGAACGAATAGCTATCGTGGGGTCATATTCTGGGGGCTCGGGTAGAAGTCCAGGTGATGTGACATGCCGCCACCGCTGAAGCCTACGATACAGCAGAGTAGAGCTGACACTGAAGATGTTGGCTCACTTACGAATATCCGAATTGGAGACGCGATACATGTGAGCAGGGGGCCGCAAACTATGCCGAAGTTTGCAGGTCTGCCATCGTTCCAACTTCTTCAGATCGGCTCGGGTCAGGAAAGCTACCTCCAGCGCGTACAGCGAGACCGAACGAACCAGCGAGCACCAAAGCCGCACCTTCAAACGAATACTGAGCTTGCCCTTTAGAACGCGTTGGGCAAGACGACCGTGCGCCTTATTCGCAGAGGAGAGGCGAGTCTTGATCTCGGGAGAGTAGGAACCAGTGGCAGAGCGCAGGCAACCGAGGTACTTAACTGTCGGTGTCGGGTGCAGGGCGCAGACCTGCGTGTCTACGTGGGTCATCTAAATGCCAGTCTGCTGTTTCGCAATCTGTTGTCGGAGTTTCCTGCAGCTCCTCCCCACAACGCTCAACATCAACTTTGTTTTTGGGACGTTCATGGTCAGACCGCTGCCATTAACCTGAGTCCCCAGGAAGTCTAAGAACAAGGTGACAGCGTCGAAGACGTCAAAGACAGTCAGCGCGATAAAGTCATCTACGAATTTGATCTGGGGCGTGCCTAGAACGGATAACTCAAACGCCGCAAAGTCCTCGGAATTCCTGAAAACCTGGAAAGAGGGGTCGTACTGAACCTGGGCGCCCTTGAACCCCGCGGCTAACGTTTGGTCACCGATATCATTGATAATCATGTCGTAGACCGCGATGCATAGCCCAGGGCCCTCCATGCTACCTTGCCGAACCCCCTTCCGAATAAGAAGCCGGCGACGTGGACGATTCGTGCGAGCATCCGTAAGCATAGAACAAATTCCGTTATATAACTCCTGAGCAGTCAAGCGTGTTTGTCGAGGCAGAGCGAGTTTCTCGGGGGGGGGGGGGGGGGGGGGGGCATGCCTGCGGCCGGATCAAACACTTTCCCCAAGTCAATCAGAGCCGAGACGATGATGACCGCTGGGTTCTGGGCACGCCAAGGATTAGAACGAACGCGTCTGCCGACCTCGTCGACTAAAGCAATGGCATCGCGAGTAGGACGGCCTTGCAGCGCGCCAAACTGCGTGCTGGACAACTTGCTAGACATCTGGCGCAACTCTGGCATGACGGTCACGTTTGTGAAGGCTTTGCCCGCATGGCCGATGAGGTTGATGGTTATGTAATGGTCCTTGGCGTTCAACCCGTCCCCTTTGGGCTGCCTCAGGAAGACTGCTTCACCGTCTTTGAACCTTTGGGGCTCTCTTCGATACGCCTGTGCTGCCTGAAATTCTCCAAGAAGGGGATCCTCAATAATTTCCGTACTGAGCTTCCAGATTTCGGCAATTGCTCCTTCGGGGTCCTGTCGAGGGGCCTGGGAGGTGGCGGGGTCGGTCCACTCGAGGACTGAGGCACTCTTGAAGCTGGGGAGCCTCGCCAAAGCCTGGGTCGCATCATTGACGTCATACTGGCCTATGAGGTCCTCATCGGGGGCATCAGTGGTCTCCTGGGGTCCGCCGTCGTCGTCCCTGGGCAACTCTGTGGCCTCGAAAATGGAGCACAACGCATCCGTGCGGACCTGCTGGTCCTCTTCGTCACCAAAACGCGGGTCACCCGTTGCGGGGTTGCGGACCGTCAGCGTCGGCATCGTAGGCTTCGGCGCGAGCCTCTTGATGATGGAGTAGCAACGTCGAATGTCATGAACTGCGTCCGCTCTCTCTGCATCGGCGACCAGAGCCGCAACATGCTGTCGCTTCTCAGAACGGACAGCTCTCTTCGCAATCTTCGCCGCACGGCAAAACTCAGAGACAATTGATTTCTGCAACCATGATTGTTGGTTTATCACTCTAGAAAGCATTTCTTGATAGTACTGTTTGCGTCCAGTCAGCTGGAGAGTATCCTCGGTCAACTCCTGCTTCTTAGCTGCCGCAGGGTCGCCAACATAAATAGCATACACAGCGTCCACAAACGCACCTTCGAGAGCATTGTAGTCTGCGGATGAGTGTGGGAATAACAAACCTGGGCCACATCCCTGACGCCAGTCGCCTCTAATTTGGCGATTTTGCAGCTCACCACGCAGCCTGTCACGAAAGCCTTGGACTCGTGCAGGTACCGTATCCTCGTGCAAGGTAGTTCGCAGGTCATGAAGAAGTGAAGCTCGATTCCATCTTGGCAACTGGGGCGACGGAATCTTGCGGCACCTAAACTTGGTTGAAATCCAAGCCTCAAGTGGTCGGTGGTCGCGGTAGCCGCCAAGGCTAACGGGGAGTGAATATAATACTTTGGCACCATGCCCAGATCCTCCCCGCAGCCGTGTACAAATGAAGTCAAGTTGATTCCACGTAATATCGTCAGTATGAAGCCATGTTCCTGCATGAGCGTTCTTGCTGCCGTGAGTGTTCAATGCCGTCAGATGCTGGGATTGCAGAATACTGAGTAGCTGGCCGCCGTTATGGTTAGTAACTCTAGGGATGCGATCAGCGCCAGCGAAGCCAACGTGAGGGAGTTCAGGGGCCATCGTTCCATTGGCGTCAAGGCACCAGATCAACGTAGTACGCTGCGGGACTCGTCGGGGTTCACTGGTGTGCCAGAAATTGTCCTGCGCCAGTCGATGGACCTGCAGCTGGTGGTCTCGGTCGGCTCCCGCGGGCTGGTACGGTGGAGAGTTGGTCGGCGCATAGCCGTTCAATATGTAGAGGTCGCGCTCTTGGCGTCCTTCACGTCGGACACGGAGTCCCAGGATACGTCCTGGAAGCCACTCGTGGACGCATCTGACCTCCAGTGGGTTGAAGTTGGATAAGTTGAAGGCTGTGAGGCACCCATCCTTAGCTCGAGTCGAAGTCCGTGGCGTCGGATAGATCCTGTATCCTGCGCAATTCCACGGTGTGGTGCCACGCATCAATGTACTCTGAAAGCGTACAATGGCAATCTTCTGATCCTTGGCGAGACGTAACAGTTCGCCAACTCGATCGATGCGAATCAAAGATTCCGTACTATAACTCCAGACTTTCATCTGATGATTGTTGCGCGAAGCTTGTGTTCGTCTGGGCAACTGCGATGATGGTGCAAGCTCAGGTTCTCGTTGATGAATTAGCCTTTCGTGTTCAACTGCATGGGCGGCCACGGGACGAGTAAGCAGCTGACCATGATACCAGCAGCTGCCTGTCACTATGGCAAGTCTACAGCTCGTCTCCAGGCCCTTTTGCCGCCCATTTGCCCTGGCTCCCGCCGTCGGTCTTGTAGTCAAAGCCGAGGTGGCGGTCCAGCTCGGTCGGGCAGCCGAGCAGCGCTCGCCTCGCAGGCGTCGGCAGCACCCTCCTCCTCCGAAACCTTCGTGGCCAGCACAGCAGCGCCATGGCTGGAAGAGGAGAACGCTCGGGTTCCGCCTGGTGGGGAATTGCGACCCCACGCTCGCCTGTGCGAGAAGCGTCCTTGAGCCGCCGAGGCTACTGTTACTACCGCCGGCTTCCGCCGCCCTCGCAATACTTCTGCCGTCGTCCGCGCAGCGAGCAATTTTCATTGGGCTGGTGTATGGAAAGGGAACCTCAGGGGAGCGTTTATTCCAACATCGTTGATGTGTCTTTGGTTTACACTGGTTCTCCTCCTCCTCCTCCTCCTCCTCCTCCTCGTGCTCCTCGGCGAGGAGGCGAGCGCGTCCCGCGTCTCCGACGGGGTGTGGCTGAGGCCGATGCCGGCGCCGCAGAAGGCCAGCGCGAGGTACAGCGTCGTGTTCAGCGTTCGGGCGCCGCCGCCACAGGCGCGGCGCGGCGGGTCACGCACGCCTTAGCCTGGGCCTCGGCTGGCGGGGCGCTGCGACGCGGACCACGCCGACAGCCAGGATGCCACCGCCTCGGTCTCGGGGGAGCGCTGCGGCACGAGGTGCTCGCGCTCGTGGAGCAGCTCCTCGGGCTCCACGAACAACCCCTGCAGCTGCCGAGCCTGCTCGAGGGGCACCCGCTTGTCGTTCCTCCCGACCACGTGCAGCGACGCGATGGGCAAGCGGGGTGCCCCGACGAGGGCGGGGGGCAGGAACCCGGCGCACAGGATCGCGAACCGCGGCGCCGGCACCCCGCCCGCCCCGTGAAGCTCCGAGAGGAGCACGGCGGCCGCGGCCGCGCCGTTGGAGAAGCCGAGCACGCCGTCGAACGGCGCGCCTTGCTCGCACGCGGCCCTCATCGCGTCCAGCAGCACTCCGCGGGAGCGCGCCCACTGCTCTGGCCACAGCGGGTGGGGCTGGCCCCGCTGCGCGCCCCTCTGCCACCAGCAGCGCGCCTCGGCCGTCCTGCTGAGGCCTGCCCCGCTCGGCCGCTCGACGCGGTGGGGCGCGTCCACGAAATGGAGGCGCGCGACGTGCCGGAGCCTCTCCTGGAGCGCCCTGGTGCTGACAGCGAGTATCGGAGGAGGGCCAGCTGAGACATCGGCGGCTCTCCCGCCCGGCCCGATCCGCTCCACATCGGTCCCCGCCTCCAGGAATCCGTGCTGACCATTTCTTCGAGGCGGACCCCACCGTGGCGACGGGGAGCCCGCCGGAGGCACAGAGGGCAGGCCCAGACACGAGGCGTCTGGGTTTTTCCCAGCCCTCGCGTGTCGGGTTCTTGCTTGGAGTAGGGCGCTGCTCGCTCAACCTCCGGCCCACTCTCTCTCCCCCCCCTCCTCCTGCCTCCTGCCTCCTGGCCTCTCTTGCTCGCACCTTTCCTACTGCGGGGCCGTGAACTGCGCAACTGCCGCCACTTTCGTGGGCTCCTGGGAGGTGCAGCGGATGCGGTAATTGCGCGAGACCTCGCGGCTCCCTGGGAGGCTGCGAACTGCGCAGCCGTCGCAACTTTCGTGGGCTCCTGGGCGGTCTATCGGAGGCGGTAGTCAGGCGAGACCTCGCCGCTTCCTGGGATGCTTCGAACTGCGCAACCGTCGCAACTTTCGTGGGCTCCTGGGGGGTGCAGCGGAGTAGATTGTCACACATATCCAAGCGTTCACACACACATATATATACACATATGTGTATATATATATATATATATATATCTATATATATATATATATATTGATAGTCGCCTCACGTGGAGAAGGGGCATGGGTACGTCTCGGGTGCTGTGCCCAGGGCTGGCCTTTCATCCCGAGCAACTTTTGACGGTCCCGAAGCCCGGCGAGGGCCCCCAGAGGCCGACAACGACGGAAAATCTCCGCCTTGTTTTCCCCCTTGTCATAAGATGGGGTTCTCGTTAGTTACTCAGACGCCTCCGACTCCTCACCTTCACCCTCCTCCTGCTTCTTGCTTCCTTCTCCCTCATTCGCACATAACCACTCATACTCAGACTTACTCATCAACACTAAGACTCACGCACACTCCGCCTCAATCAATCAGCACTCACACTCATTCACACAAACTCATTCACACTCAGACTCACTCATGCTCTGACTTACTCATGGTCCCTCTTCCTCGTCCTCACTCGAACTGAGATTCGCTTACACTCAGACTTAGACTTACTTATTCTCAGACGTCATCGTACCCAGACTCACACTCAGATGCACTCATACTCAAACTTCTCATACTCAGACTCGTTCGCATTCATATTCACTCGCGCTCAGACTTGGACCGACTCGCACTGACTCGCAAGTTGTAAGTACGTTTCGAGCGAGCCGCTGTCTTCAGCACCCACAAAGGGTTTATTCCAGGGAGTAGGACGCTCGCCCGTTCGCGGCCAGATTGTGGGAATGTCTCAGGCGGTTTGCTTGTTTTTCGGCGCGCCCGACTCCTCTGCTTTCCGAGCAGGTTCAGTACCCACAGAAAGGGGGAACCGCCACGGGGAGGGCACTTGCCTGTTCGCGGCCTGATTGTGGGGATGTCTCAGGCGGTTTGCTGACTTCGCCGCCGCCTAGTTACCCCTCTGCATTCAGAACAAGTTGTGAGGATGTCTCGAGCGAGGCGCTGGCTTCAACACCTCATGGGGCACCCGCCAGGGGCTAGGACACTCGCCAGATCGCAGCTCGATTGTGGGGACGTCTCGAGCGGTTTGCTGGTTTCGGCGCCCCTGACCCCTCTGCTTTCAGAGCAGCTGGTGAGGATGTCTCGAGCGAGGCGCTGGCTTCAACACCCCATGGGGCACCCGCCAGGGGCTAGGACACTCGCCAGCTCGCAGCTCGATTGTGGGGACGTCTCGAGCGGTTTGCTGATTTCGGCGCCCCTGACTCCTCTGCTTTCAGAGCAGCTGGTGAGGATGTCTCGAGCGAGGCGCTGGCTTCAACACCCCATGGGGCACCCGCCAGGGGCTAGGACACTCGCCAGATCGCAGCTCGATTGTGGGGACGTCTCGAGCGGTTTGCTAATTTCGGCGCCCCTGACTCCTCTGCTTTCAGAGCAGCTGGTGAGGATGTCTCGAGCGAGGCGCTGGCTTCAACACCCCATGGGGCACCTGCCAAGGGTTGAGACACTCGCCAGCTCGCAGCTCGATTGTGGGGACGTCTCGAGCGGTTTGCTGATTTCGGCGCCCCTGACTCCTCTGCTTTCAGAGCAGCTGGTGAGGATGTCTCGAGCGAGGCGCTGGCTTCAACACCCCATGGGGCACCTGCCAAGGGTTGAGACACTCGCCAGCTCGCAGCTCGATTGTGGGGACGTCTCGAGCGGCTTGCTGATTCCAGTGCCCGCGACTCCTGCTTTCGTAACAGACTGTAGGGATGTCTCGAGCGAGGCGCTGGTTTCAGAACCCCTACGGGGGAGCTGTCAGGGGTGGCTGTGCGGGCCCGCTCGCGGCCAGGTTGTGGGGGGATGTATCCGGCGGCTTGGGCTCTGCCGCTCTCGAGACAGATTATGACGACCGTTGGCTCCGCTGCTGCGGGGCCTGGCCTGGAGCGCGATTGGCGTTCGCGCGCGCGGACAGGGGGAGGGACCTCGCGCGGCCCGCGGCCCTCCCGCACTTGGGAAGCGAAACGGCCATTGACTGTCGAAGAGTCGAAGGCTCGAAGTTCGAAGACCGAGGCTCCAGAATGTCTCAGGCAAGGCGCTCGTTTCAGCTCCTCAAGGGGGGTGCCGACACGGGTGGCTGCACGGGCCCGTCCAACGGCCAGACTGTGGGGAAGTCTCTCGTGCTCTCATGGCAGATTCTCTAGAAAGCTTTCTCAAGCGAGGCGTTTGCTTCAGCGCCCGACGGAGGAACCGCTGGGCGCGCTCGTACCCGGATGGCTGAGATGTCCCGGGGGGTGTACTTGCTCCGGCCCGCCGACTTCTCTGCTGTCAAAATAGATTGAGAGGTTGTCGTGGGCCAGGCGCTGGTTTCAGCGCTCCACGGAGGAACCGTCAGGGAACATCTTGTGAGGATACCTCGGGCGAGGCGCTGGCTTCAGCACCCCGAGGGACCAGATTTTGAGGATGCCTCGAGCGAGGCGCTGGCTTCAACACCCCCCTTCAAGTGGGCGCCGCCGAGGGGTAGGACGCTCGTCCGCTCACTGCCAGATTGTGGGGGTGTTTCAAGCGGTTTGCCTGTTTGGTTGCCCAACCTCATTTGCTTTTAAAACAGCTTGTGAGGATGTCTCGAGCGCCTCGCTGGTTCAGTGTCCCGTTCGTGGCCAAAGTGTGGGCTGTCTCGGGCAGTTCGCTCGTTTGGTGGCCCATGCTCGTCTGCTTTCAGAGCAGATGGTGGGAGTACCTTTCACGAGGCGCTGGCTTCAGCACCCCAAGGCGAGCAGCCAGAGGGTAGGCCACTCGCCCGTTCGTGGCCAGGGTGTGGGGACGTCTCGAGCGAGGTTCCTGTTTTGCGCCTCCGACTCCTGTCAGAGCCCCGTGATCACCTCGATGGAGGGAGAAGGACTGCCGCAAGGGAGGAGGAGGGAGGACGGAGGAGGATGGAGGAGGGACATTGGAGGAGGACGGACGAGAAGGGAGGGGCTACGGCGAGGAGGAAGAGGAAGGAGAGGGAGGGAGGGGGACAGTTGCCAGGGAGGGGGAGGCACGAAAGACGGAGGAGGAGCGACGATGAGTAGGAAGGAGGAGCACGCAGGAGGAGCGAGAAGGAGGCAAGGCGAAAGAGAAGGGAGGGGGTACGACGAGGAGGATAATGAAGAGAAGGGGGGAGCCTGTTGACCACCTGCTCGTCTGTGACTTGTTGTCGTCGTCGTCGTCGTCGTCGTCGTCGTTGTCCCTGATCGTAGCCGCCGCAATGGCCGTAGTCGTGGCCGCCGTGGCCATGGCCGTCGCCGTCGCCGTCGCCGTCGCCGTCGTCGTCGTCGTCGTCGTCGTCGTCGTCGTCGTCGTCGTCGTCGTCGCCGTCGTCCAATTCGGACTCGCCTTCACGCCCAGACGCTCACAACGGGACGTGCCAGAAAATGAGGTGCACGTGTGGGACCCCCCGCGTCGAACAATTTCAGGGCACTGGCTGTCTCGGGGGAGGGCCACCGCGGCCTCGTCTGGCCCCCCTCCGAAAAGAGCGCGGCCGACTGGCAGCTGCCGTGCAGGCACAGGATCCGGGGCAACGCGGCCTCGGCCGCCCCAGCCATCGTGTCCGAGGCCCCCGTCAGCCCTGCCGCCTGTTGGGAAACGAAACTATTACCGATAACGCTGCTCCCCAGACCTCTTCTTGGGTGCGTTCTGACCAGACTCCCGCTAGCCCCTTGGGGCGTAGGTTGTCTATGGCGTTTCCTCTTCCCCTTCTTCCCCTTCGGGGAGGAAATTATCACTGCTCCCTATTCGTAAACATCCCCTCCCCCACTCGACAAGCGACCAATCAAGACACGTGCCCCTCGCCATCTGGGTCACATTAAACAATCCAAAGTACACTTAGCGGCCAATCTTGAGTCATGTTCGGTAGCTCCGGGAGATTTTGTTTTGTTTTCTCTTCATCCGAAGTGGGGTTCTGGTTTTCTCTGCACAACTCCCGCGCAGGATCTTCTCCTCCTCCTCCTCATCCCCTATCTCTTCCTAACTCGCACACACTCATCATCAACAACATCATCATCATCATGGTCACCACCATCATCATCATCATCATCATCATCATCATCATCATCATCATCATCATCATCATCATCATCATCATCATCATCAGCATCATCATCGACCTCATCATCGACCTCATCATCGACCTCATCATTATCATCATCATCGTCATCATCGTCACCACCATCATCATCATTATCATCATCGTCATCGTCATCACCATCACTACTACAATCACCAACACCATCAT